TTTCTTTATGAAGAAGGGCTCTGTTGATGAGGACGGGCTGGGCATTTACTTAGGTGCGATTCCAACAAGGAACGTCAGCGAAGCATTGTTCGAGAAATATATTCGAGCGCCATCAGCTGTGAATCACGTGTAGTGATTTTCATTTGGCCAGTGTTTACGCTTGAGGTAACAGTGTCCGCAGCAACAGTATATATATATACTGCTAACTATACCCCGCGTCATGGTGTATATATGTATACACTTACCAATTGAGTTTAGTCTTGAACAATGCTCAGAACTAAAGCACAGTTGCTGATCCAGCTATAGTGGTGGCTTTTAATGGTGACAGGCTTGCTGCCTAACACCACACAGGTGTCTGAGTGTTGTGTGAGACTGGGACCAAGGTGTGGGCTTGACATAGGCGCTCCTGGAGATGGTGACATCCTTCAAGGAAGACTGTGTACAGGTGAGAAGCCCTACCACGTGTAAGACTTAATGATTGTCGAGGATAATGTCTGTAGGCCTCCTGGTTTGGTCGTTTGCGAAACAGGAGGTGTCGTATTGTTAATTAATCGTGGGCCCTAATGGGATAGACGATACTTTAAGTGGTCTTAGGTTATTTGAAGGAAAAATCTCTCTCTGGCGGTGTGTTCACTCACAGGATGTGATGCTGCCCAGTGCTGTCATTCTGTCCACACTCAGGATGAGTGATGCTGCCCAGTGCTGTCATTCTGTCCACTCACAGGATGAGTGGCGCTGCCCAGTGCTGTCATTGTTCACTCACAGGATGAGTGGCGCTGCCCAGTGCTGTCATTCTGTCCACTCACAGGATGAGTGATGCTGCCCAGTGCTGTCATTGTTCACTCACAGGATGAGTGGCGCTGCCCAGTGCTGTCATTGTTCACTCACAGGATGAGTGGCGCTGCCCAGTGCTGTCATTGTTCACTCACAGGATGAGTGGCGCTGCCCAGTGCTGTCATTGTTCACTCACAGGATGAGTGATGCTGCCCAGAGCTGTCATTGTTCACTCTCAGGATGAGTGATGCTGCCCAGAGCTGTCATTCTGTCCACACTCAGGATGAGTGATGCTGCCCAGTGCTGTCATTCTGTCCACTCACAGGATGAGTGATGCTGCCCAGTGCTGTCATTCTGTCCACTCACAGGATGAGTGATGCTGCCCAGTGCTGTCATTCTGTCCACACTCAGGATGAGTGATGCTGCCCAGTGCTGTCATTCTGTCCACTCACAGGATGAGTGATGCTGCCCAGTGCTGTCATTCTGTCCACTCACAGGATGAGTGATGCTGCCCAGTGCTGTCATTCTGTCCACTCACAGGATGAGTGATGCTGCCCAGTGCTGTCATTCTGTCCACTCACAGGATGAGTGATGCTGCCCAGTGCTGTCATTCTGTCCACTCACAGGATGAGTGATGCTGCCCAGTGCTGTCATTCTGTCCACTCACAGGATGAGTGATGCTGCCCAGTGCTGTCATTCTGTCCACTCACAGGATGAGTGATGCTGCCCAGTGCTGTCATTCTGTCCACTCACAGGATGAGTGATGCTGCCCAGTGCTGTCATTCTGTCCACTCACAGGATGAGTGATGCTGCCCAGTGCTGTCATTCTGTCCACTCACAGGATGAGTGATGCTGCCCAGTGCTGTCATTCTGTCCACACTCAGGATGAGTGATGCTGCCCAGAGCTGTCATTCTGTCCACACTCAGGATGAGTGATGCTGCCCAGAGCTGTCATTCTGTCCACACTCAGGATGAGTGATGCTGCCCAGAGCTGTCATTCTGTCCACACTCAGGATGAGTGATGCTGCCCAGAGCTGTCATTCTGTCCACTCTCAGGATGAGTGATGGTTCCCAGTGCTGTCATTCTGTCCACTCTCAGGATGAGTGATGGTTCCCAGTGCTGTCATTCTGTCCACTCAAGATGAGTGATGGTTCCCAGTGCTGTCATTCTGGAGGTATGTTCACTCACAGGATGAGTGACCACTCACAGGATGAGTGACCACTCACAGGATGAGTGACGCTGCCGAATGAACTTTCCCTTCTGGGCAAAATGAACAAAAGTTTAAACCAAGTCAGTCGTCATACGTCTGGCAAGCAAGTGACGTGATGAGTCTTGGAGCAGTCTTGATGCGGTGAAACAAACAGTTCAACTCAAATATATATATATTAATTGTAAGACTTTTTTAAGAGTTATAGAAAGGTGAAAAGAAGATAAACAGTTGATGTTGTTAGCACAACGGCGCCTCTTAGGAGGTAAATGTTTGGGAGGTTTTTGTTTGTTTACGGTCCTGGATGGGTGTGAAAGTTTGTGGTCCAGGATGGCTGTGAAGGTTTGTGGTCTAGTATGTATGCGGTCCAGGCTGGATGTAAGCCGACTGGCGGGTCGTGTTCCAAGGAAACTAGTGAGTAACGCTTACCATAAGCAATGGGAAGAGAAAGTTCTCAACCTGCTATAGTAAAAATTATCATGTTCCAGTACCCAGCTGTGTAAAGAAAAAAGTCTGGCAAAATGTTGGAGGCGGACGTCCTGACCTGAGAGAGGAATGCGCGGACGTCCGGACCCGAGGCAGTTGTGTGGAGGGTGGGAGGGAGGAAGGAGGGGGGGGTGGCGTGGGGGTGTGGAATGTCAGGTTCTTGTGGTTGAAGGAGCTGCAATTGTTGTTGTTGTTGTTGCAGCTTATTGCTGCTGTTGAGGAAGCTATAGGCTTCCCCAAGAGGGTTTTAGAGGCACGTGTCTCTTGGGTTAATATTAATACCGCCATAATGTAAGGGCTCCAGGGCTTTGTCTGGGGGTGTCCGGGCGGGGAGGGAGGTGGAGAGGGGGTTCTGGGGTTAGGTGGAGGGGAGGGGGGGTATCTGGGGTGAGGTGAGGTGGGGGGAGAGGGATGTTGCTAGTGTCCTTACCCTTCTCTCTCGCTGCCAGTGACAGAGACCCCGCGGGTACAAGGCAGAGTCCTGCAGAACTATGGACGGGAGAACATGGTGTCACCTTGCCGCCTCCCCCCGCCGGAACCCAACACCAGGGAAGCAGACCCCCGTGGGAACACTGCATGGTCATCCCGGCCCTGTTGAAGCTACTCGCATGCACGCACGCCCGCACACACACTTACACGTAAATGGGCGGCTTTCTTCACCCGAAGATAATGTTGACCGAGCAGTAAACAGAAAGTGGGAAACATATGCAGTTAGATATGATAGAGAACAATTGGTTGGGAGTCTGTGCGTTAGACAACCAATAGTCGGAGTCCAAGAGCTTACAGCATAGTCCAAACTCAGATGAGTCACAGAGATGTTAGGAAGTTTTCTTTTAGCGTGAGAGTAGTGGGAAAATGGAATGCACTTGGGGAACAGGTTGTGGAACCAAATACTATTCATACTTTTAAAACTAGGTATGATAGGGAAATGGGACAGGAGTCATTGCTGTAAACAACCGATAGCTGGAAAGGCGGGATCCAAGAGTCAATGCTCGATCCTGCAAGCACAAATAGGTGAGTACAAATAGGTGAGTACACACACAGACACACACAAAGGGAAGGGAAGGTACTCCATTGGATACAGGAGTACCTAAGTAACAGGAGACAACGAGTCAGTGTGAGGGGTGAGGTCTCAGATTGGCGAGACGTTACGAGTGGAATCCCGCAGGGGTCAGTCCTTGGACCTATACTGTTTCTGATATATGTAAATGATCTCCCAGAGGGCATAGAATCGTTTCTCTCAATGTTTGCCGATAATGCAAAAATTATGAGGAGGATTGAAACTGAGGATGATAGTAGGAGGCTACAAAATGACCTAGACAGACTGAGTGAATGGTCCAACAAATGGCTGTTGAAGTTCAACCCGAGTAAATGCAAAGTAATGAAACTAGGCAGAGGAAACAGGAGGCCAGACACTGGATACAGAATAGGAGATGAAGTACTTAATGAAACGGACAGAGAGAAAGATCTAGGAGTTGATATCACACCAAACCTGTCTCCTGAAGCCCACATAAAAAGAATAACGTCTGCGGCATATGCGAGGCTGGCTAACATCAGAACAGCGTTCGGGAACCTGTGTAAGGAATCATTCAGAATCTTGTACACCACATATGTAAGACCAATCCTGGAGTATGCGGCCCCAGCATGGAGCCCGTACCTTGTCAAGCACAAGACGAAGCTGGAAAAAGTCCAAAGGTATGCCATTAGACTAGTCCCAGAACTAAGAGGCATGAGTTACGAGGAAAGGCTGCGGGAAATGCACCTTACGACACTGGAAGACAGAAGAGTAAGGGGAGACATGATCACAACCTACAAAATCCTCAGGGGAATCGACCGGGTAAACAATGATAAACTATTCAACACAGGTGGGACGCGAACAAGGGGACACAGGTGGAAACTGAGTACCCACATGAGCCACAGGGACGTTAGAAGGAACTTTTTTAGTGTCAGAGTAGTTAACGGATAGAATGCATTAGGCAGTGATGTGGTGGAGGCTGACTCCATACACAGTTTTAAATGTAGATATGATAGAGCCCAATAGGCTCAGGAATCTGTACACCAGTTGATTGACAGTTGAGAGGCGGGACCAAAGAGCCAGAGCTCAACCCCCGCAAGCACAACTAGGTGAGTACACCCCCCCCTCTGTAGTATGAATGTAATTGCCCCCCCCCCCTCCTCTCACCTGGACCACTGGCCTGGGAGCCGAGGCTTTCCTGTTGACTGTGTCTCCTTCCACATCCAGCCACACAGCTCTTTGTCGTGCTCTACTGACCGCCTGTCACACCAGCCTGTACTCCCGCATAACACGTCGTGTTTGGACGTCAAAATCCCTCCCAACGTCATGGAAAAGTCTACTATAAACATCAGCAAAATTGACGTGATGTTCCGTTTTCTATTCGGGAATCCTCTTGTTATCTTCGGTTAACTTAATACATCATTTTAGTGACGGTGTGAACGCTCGTGGTTGCGGGCTAGTCTCACACCTGGATAATGTCGCTATAAAAGGATTACCACAACTTCTCTATTTTACAGGAAGACAACTTGAGCGGGAACCAAGAGAAGGACTTGAGCGGGAACCAAGAGGAGAACTTTAGCGGGAACCAAGAGGAGAACTTGAGCGGGAACCAAGAGGAGGACTTGAGCGGGAGCTCTGTAAGCAGATCACGACAACATAAGAGGTAGGAAGACTTGGGTTATTTGGTATTCACAGATACGCTCTTAAGAGCCTTCTGCTCTGGGGGTACAAGAAGCATGAGTCAGAGGGTATGTTTCCTAGAGGCAAGGGCCCGGGGGGGGGGAGGTATAGAGGGTATGACTGAGGAATATATTGCAAGGTCTCCCAACGTCAAGGATCCCTTGACATTGATCCCAACAGATCCCAGTTCATCCCAACAGCCTGGTTGACCAGTCCAGCAACGAAGAGGCCTGGTCGACGACCGGGCCGCGGGGTCGCTGAGCCCCGGAATCACCTCAAGGTAACCCAAGGCCGTGAGGTGTAAGCCCCTTTGTCTGACGGGAGGTGGAAACGACATTTCCTGCGCTGTAGAAGCCAGATTAACGAAGCAGTAGCGCAAGCACTTACGAACTTGTACATCTTTTCCCAATCTTTGGCGACTTTGTTTACAGTTATTAAACAGTTAATGAGCTCCGAAGCTACCACAACCCACTGTACCCACATGTATACCAGGAAGGTACAACCCAATCTACCTTCTTGTATATAAATAAATACATCAATTCAGTATAGCGTTATACAGCCGCGTCCAACAGCCTGGTTGATCAGTCCGGCAACCAGGAGGCCTGGTCGACGACCGGGCCACGGGGACACTAAGCCCCGGAAGCACCTCAAGGTAACCTCAAGGTAGTGGTGCATAAGACACGAGCCTCGGGCAAGGTGGTGGTGGGGGGACAGATCGTATATTACAAGGAATTAACTGTGAAGCATAACAAGTCATGGAAATAATGGAAGATTGTTTTTCGATACAGTTTGCTACCGAGCGAGTCACACACACTAGTCTCTCTCCGTGGTGTAGTGGTAAGACACTCGCCTGGTGTTCCGCGAGCGCTTTGTCGTGGGTTCGTATCCTGGCCGGGGAGGATTTACTGGGCGCAAATCCTTAACTGTAGCCTCTGTTTAACTCAACAGTAAAATGTGTACTTGGTTGTAACAACGATTCTTCGCGGCGGGGATCGTATTCCAGGGACCTGCCCGAAACGCTACGCGTACTAGTGGCTGTACAAGAATGTAACAACTCTTGTATATATCTCAAAAAAAAAACTAATCTGGATTTGGTTCAGGCAAGCAATGATCAGCAATATGCTTATTACCCCTGTACCACCACAACATGGTACAAGTTTTACAACCTGGGATACCACCGACTTCACCGCACACGTGGAGGCCAGGCCAGGCTGTACACACAACCTCTGCGCTCGGGGTAATCGGGTCGAAACCCCCACATTGCTGCAATTAATTTAATCATTGATGTATCACGTCAGTGGGATTTCCTTGCGAAATATGGCTGATGATATTACAACCGGTAGGCAGGAGAGAGTTACCGGTGTGTTACTTGACACTGGTGTTCTACATTACCGGGTTGTGAATACAACTACACTGATGACACACATACTTTGTAATGTGGTATTTTAAATCGTTAATTAGGGCAGTGTCTTAAACAACTAAAAGAGAAAGTGTCATCTATAATGAACTAGTATATCACAAGTGAACACTTGCCACAACGTCTGTATTAAAACAGTCGATGAATGGAAAGGCGGGGCCAAGGAGCTAAATCTCGATCCTACAAGGTGTTGTGAAGACTGTAGGGAGTAGGTCGTACTAGAATAGAAATGGGGAGGGAGGAGACGTGTTTGCATTATATAAGATCCTAACTAGCGTCCAAGAACCAAACCTGTATCCCAACAAGTAACAAAGGCAGAATTATTATTATCGAAGATATAGGACACAAGACACTTTCAGATTCAGGCGATGAGTCACAATAACGTGGCTAAAGTATGTTGACCAGACCACACATTAGAATGTGAAGGGACGACGACGTTTCGGTCCGTCCTGGACCATTCTCAAGTCGATGAATGTTCTCATCGACTTGAGAATGATCCAGGACGGACCGAAACGTCGTCGTCCCTTTACATTCTAGTGTGTGGTCTGGTCAACTTTCAGATTCCAGTCCGTGTGGTATTCCCTCGTGTCAGGCTATGATGGAAGGTTTTCTTTTGAATATTGCTCGATAAATCCTCAAGATGTTGCAACTGTGTAGTTGTCCAGCCTCCGCTGTGTCCTCCATCCATTGTCGTCTCCGCTGCCTGTCTTGATTGCACAGTTGTGTGTCTTTCACTGTGCCTCTTCTCTGGCGTCAAGACCCTTCCATTACATCCTCTCTTTCTCTCCATCCCTCAGTCCTCCGACCCATCTCCTGCCCCATCTCACTTGTAATACATCACTACTCCACCCAAGCCTGCCTCAGTTCTCAATGTCTAATCTCAACTTTGGGAGCTTTTCTCTTCGGCTTAGAACTTTGGTCGTTCCCAAACTCTACTAGTGTGGAGGCCTCGCCCTGCCCGAGTGTGAGGGTGTGGGGGCTCACCCTGCCCGAGTGTGAGTGTGTAGGGGCTCACCCTGCCCGAGTGTGAGTGTGTGGGGGCTCACCCTGCCCGAGTGTGAGTGTGTGGGGGCTCACCCTGCCCGAGTGTGAGTGTGTGGGGGCTCACCCTGCCCGAGTGTGAGTGTGTAGGGGCTCACCCTGCCCGAGTGGGAGTGTGTGGGGGCTCACCCTGCCCGAGTGTGAGGGTGTGGGGGCTCACCCTGCCCGAGTGTGAGTGTGTAGGGGCTCACCCTGCCCGAGTGTGAGTGTGTAGGGGCTCACCCTGCCCGAGTGTGAGTGTGTAGGGGCTCGCCCTGCCCGAGTGTGAGTGTGTGGGGGCTCACCCTGCCCGAGTGTGAGTGTGTGGGGGCTCACCCTGCCCGAGTGTGAGTGTGTAGGGGCTCACCCTGCCCGAGTGTGAGTGTGTGGGGGCTCACCCTGCCCGAGTGTGAGTGTGTGGGGGCTCACCCTGCCCGAGTGTAAGTGTGTGAGGGCTCACCCTGCCCGAGTGTAAGTGTGTGGGGGCTCACCCTGCCCGAGTGTGAGTGTGTGGGGGCTCACCCTGCCCGAGTGTGAGTGTGTGGGGGCTCACCTTGCCCGAGTGTGAGTGTGTGGGGGCTCACCCTGCCCGAGTGTAAGGGTGTGGGGGCTCACCCTGCCCGAGTGTGAGTGTGTAGGCTGTAGACGTCCTCACTATGCTTCGTATGATGTATTTAACACAGACAGAAAAATGGGAACAGGAGAACACGAAAGAAAAAAAAAAGTCGTCTCTGAGAAAACATTCTTCTTGTTTTGTGACTGAAACGACATGTTCGGTATACATGTCTGTTTCTGTCTGTCTGTCTGTCTGTAGCTTCCAAGTATCTGTTGTCTCCCATAGAAGAGGTGCTTACGCTCTGTGTAGTAGGGGAATCTGTGCAATCTGATAGGAAGGAAGCGTTTGCTCATAACTTAGAGAGAGAGAGAGAGAGAGAGAGAGAGAGAGAGAGAGAGAGAGAGAGAGAGAGAGAGAGAGAGAGAGAGAGAGAGAGAGAGAGAGAGAGAGAGAGAGAGAGAGAGATATTGATTGATTGATTGATAGATAGATAGATAGATAGATAGATAGATAGATAGATAGATAGATAGATAGATAGATAGATAGATATTGGGGCGGTAGTTACCCCTGTTGTGTGTGTGTGGGGGGGGGGGGGTCTATCATTCTCTCTTGTTGTTTAAGATTCAGCTACTGGGAACAAAAAGTTGCAAGTAGCACGGGCTATGGTGAGCCCGTAGTAGACTTAGCTGGCACAGGAGCGGGGCTGTATTCTCTCTTAAGCGGACCTCACAATATATGCCTTATACAACCGAGAGAGAGCATGAGGCGTAACCTGTACCGGGGAAGAGGGACGGGACCCGGATATTCCAAAGCATCGTGTTGGTATCTAGGCGCATGTGTACATTTGTATCTATATGTGTGTGTGTCTCCAAGGACGGAGACCAGACGCTTGGTGCTAGTCTCACCCAAATTTCAAGATGATACATGAGTGACGTGGAAGTGTCGCAGCCCACTCAGAGCCGACCTCACTGGTCTCCTCTCCCCCTCCACCCCCCTGTTACGAAATATCGGCTATTTTTTCGTGAAATCTGAAATAGGGGATTTGCTTCCCCGATTGGGAAAAGAGGGAACGAGAGAGAGAGAGCGAGAGAGAGAGAGAGCGAGAGAGAGAGAGAGCAAGCGAGAGAGAGAGCAAGCGAGAGAGAGAGAGCAAGCGAGAGAGAGAGAGCTAGGTAACCCCCCCCCCTCTCATCTAGTATATCTGTATGTATGTAATAACACACACACACTCACACTATCTGGGGGGGGGGCAAGGTCTGATAGCTGGGTGGAGAGCGCTCTGGGCTCGTAATCTTAGGGTCCGGGTTCGATCTCCGGTGATGGCAGAAACAAAATGGGCAGAATTTCTTTCACACTGATGCCCGTTACCTAGCAGTAAATAGGTACCTGGGAGTTAGACAGCTGTTACGGGCTGCTTCCTGTGTGTGTGTGAGAGAGAGAGAGAAAAAAATATAGTTAGTAATTAATAACAGTTGATTGACAGTTGAGAGGCGGGCCGAAAGAGCAGAACTCAACCCCCACTAGCACAACTAGGTGAGTACACCCACGCACACGCACGCGCGGGCGTCATGTTTAAAAACATACAAAGTAGTGGTGTGAAGCAGCAGTTAAGTATGGACTGTCATAATAATTTATAATTCATTATGTGTGAAGACAGGCAGTATATAGCCAGTGTAGGCTCCTGGAACTAATGACTTTACCGGCTGAGGACATAGACCTGCTGCTTCTACCTTATCATGGATACCTTGCCCTCACTATCCGGCCCATTCCTCTCTATCCACCACCCGTAAGCTGTTCCATGATCCCCAATAGACCACGGTTCATCATATTTGCTCGCCTAATTGACGGGGATCCTTTCCCGTCCAACCCCCATATTTGGCCTCATCCTGTTGTGCGCTAGTCTGGTCGAATGCGCCTCTGACTCAACACCTCCCCCCCCCTCCCCCTCTCTCATGGTCCATCTCATTCATCTCACGACCCTCATCGTGAC